GAACATTTAGCATTATTTCTGTATTTTAGGATAGCGACGATGACACAAGTTCCAGCACCTCTGTAGAAACACACGAAGAGGTAAGTGGAATAGAGCATTTTTGTTTTCTTCAGTCACCGGTCATTAACTCCTTGGTTTTCTAGAGCAAACCCACGGACAAGGAGTTAGAGGATGTGATCGAGGAACTACTATCACAAGTTGATTTGTCACAGGTGAAGCTCTTTTGAAAAATGAGATGTGGTGCATATGCACCTGACCAATGCGGCAAGAGATTGTATTACCATTGCACCAAACAGTTGTCCGTTCAACACCTGCGACGACAGAGTGTATTCTTCGCAGTACTAGTGTCGCACATTAGAACAGCAGGGGTCATTTGTTCAATATTTAAGGCAATTGGAAGGATTGTGGGAAGGGTCAAGTGAAAGGGATGAGCCGTCATGGTTGTCACTATAGGCACTATGCTATAGGCGGCTTTTGAAGGTTGGCAATTTATTCATCGTATAACTTCGTATAATGTATCGGATTAATGATAAGTAGGCGTAAGGGGTTTCAGTGGCACGTTGTCAGCGTCTCATTTTAAGCTGAAGTCGCGTACCTCGACTTTCACTGAGAATCGTGGTGACTTTTCAAGCGCACTATTTGGTCAAGCGACTATTTGATTTACTAAGGCTAGTCAGTGGTTGAATAAGTTTCATACTGGGTCTGTTTATAACACGAAATGGCCTGGACTTCTTTCTTTTTCTTTCTAATTTCTTCGAAGTACGACACAAACAGTTTTTTGGTCTTGTTCCTGCAGATCTTCAGGCAGAAGCTCCATTTCATCCTTCAAACACGATTTATGTAATCTTTAGTGTCTGATGAGTGTTTTTTGTAACATCCAAGAAATGAGCACTTATTTGTTCTCCACATAATGTTTCACCAGACTTGCAATTTAGTCGTTGACTTAGATTAAATCAATGAGTCTTCCAAGTCTTGACGTATGGAGGTGCTTGTTATCATTACATGACGTGGGTTGTCGTGTGCTAAACCCTGAACTCATGGCTATTCATTATCCGCTTGAGAAGTGATCATGTTGCATTACAATCGCCCTTGAGATGCTGTAAAACAAGGCAAAACAGTGAGGGCTTGTTGAACAGGACTAGGCGACACCTGTTTTACTTGGTTTCGTTCAATCAACGCTAATCTAATTGTTCTGAGACGTGCGAATCGATCGACATCTGTTAGTTATGATATACAACATTAGTTGGCCAAAGTAGTTTTTAGAACTATGAAGTTCAAGCTTCATAAATTTGAACAAAACAGCAATAGTTATTTTTGAAGGGATCGTCCACGAAAAATTTTTTTTTTTGCTTTCTCCCAGATATGATACCGGTCAGTTTATGGATGTCACGGAGACCTCAGGTTAAAGTCTCACGCCTCAAGAAAATTAGGCTCCCGAAAAGAAACTCGCGAAACATAACCCTGGGGACCGGTCGGCGAGGTAGGTTTTGGCGGAGACAGAGGATTCGCTATGAAAAGTGCGCCTTGGGGGTGTCTACCGCTGAAAGATTTTATCAAGAGCCGTTGAATTAAGAATTTGTGAATTAAAGCGGAGTGAAATGTTTTTGTCTAATGTGAAAAAAACCAAAGCTAGAAACGTCAATTGGAGTTTTTAGTGACGGCACTCAGGTACCATCACTAACGTAAGAGCTCCATTTTTTTCTGACAACTAAAACGTTAGTGAAGCAAGTGGAAGCGTCCCGCCGCCATATTTGTGGCTGTGCGTTGAATTTGAAGTGCGGCGCGAAGTGAATGATACAGTCGTTGTGGTTTTCGAATGATCGAAAACGTACACCATTTTTTTGTTGTCTCGCTTACTTCTTGTGGATGTCTGCAGCTACGACCCAGAATAGGATTTTTCTGAAGGATTCCCTCAGATTTTTACGAGGGGGGGCGGGGGGGGGGGGGAGGGGAGGGGTTCTCACTACCGCGGAACTGCAATCCGAGTTTGTCAACTACAGGTTTGGATTTCTCAGTAAATTCTATAATGTCCAGCTGAGGCATGCATGCAGTGAATTACTGTAAGGGTGTCACGATAGCTCGGATGAAGGTAGCCGGAGCCTAGTGGAGGAGGCGAGGCATGGAGGGTGCAGGATGATTGCGATAGTTTCGCAGCGAAAAATACCTTTCAGCGGCAGGAGCAGGGCCATTCTTGTATCGTGGCACGCTCACCCTCCGTCTCACTCTAGCCGTTTAGCACAGTGAGAGCGTCAGCCGTGAAGAGGAGCAGCGCCGATGAAAGTCGCATAACTGCGGAAAATAGCAGTCGAAAAAGGTTCCATTTCTGGTTCTGGGCTGTTTCCGTGGGTTTACTTCAGTCTCTGCACCTATGCCTTAGTTTCTATTGGGCAGCCTTTTCAGTGTAAATTCTGCCTTTAAGCAACTTCTTTGCGCCACGCATTCAAATCCACTCAGAATTGTAAATGGCTTCGAATTTTGGTTGCACGACACACGGCCACATGTACTGAGTTGCAGATCGTTAATCAATGCTACAGGACTATGGTTGACGTAATGTATACTTATCTTCGCATACCAATAAGTGACTTTCGGATTGTTGAGGGACGACCCTTCTACGTTCAGTTTGGAAAAGCGCCAGAAGTGCTGAAACGAAACTCAATGGTTTTCGAACTTTAGGAGTGTCGCTGCAGCTTATTTTTTCGGTTTTTGATAAAAACTAACGAATTCCTCCTCTCTGACTCTCGGGTACTGGGAAAGCAAAAAATAAGAGAAAACAAAATGAACGACAAGAAGAAGAAAAATGATCTTTACTAATATTTCAGCATCTATGGATTTTTAATGGCTTTGCTTTTTTTTAATAATTTAATCTTTTTTAACACTCATTTTTGGATCTATCTATTCCCTATGACTACTATAATTAGAAATGTGTTGATCCTAGCTATATCCCACGTGTATAAACAAAGTGTAGTACTATCTGTTTGCTTTGAATTTACAAGTGTCTTTTGCCGCTTTAGAGAGGACAAACACATAGGACAAAAAAGGCCGACAGCTGTTGCGTTCATCTTTGCACTTTGCCATAGCAGCTTAGAGCTCAATTTAATTCCATGTATTGACGATTGTCGTAGTTTTTGATCAATTGGTCTCATGAAGCATCGCGGAACAATTTATTGCCAACAGATATTTTAGTTATACCATTAAATACAGAGGAAGTGTAATACATGGCGTATCCTGGAAGATTTATTCTCGATTGAAGGTCATGCTCGTTGTGAACTTCGCTCTTGTTCATAGCTTGTTCTTTTTAGGTGAGCATGAAGCAAATGTGCCAAGCAGTGATTGAGAAGTTCCCGGGAACAAATATCGCTACTCGTGTGGACTACTTGAAGAGCAAAATCAAGCAGAGTTTGTCGACAAAGTAACGTTTGTTCTTCGCGATTCCGTTTCCTTTTCGTCAAGGATTTCCTTATGCTGCCTCAAAATACATTTTCGTTCATATTTTTTTGCGTAATCGTTTTTCTGTTATTTCTTTTATCCCTGATTCTTTGTTCATCACATACCATTTCGTAACCTCCGGTTAATCGCGTTTACATATTGTTTTTTTTTCTCTGAAGCATCATTCTATATCAAGTTTAAGCACGCAACACGCGATGTTGTTACTTTACGTGTAGCGCTAGTGGCGGTAGACTACAGTATATCTCAATTTTGTAGCTATATGATCTCTCGAATCTGTATTTGAATGTATTCAATGTATTAACGTTGTTATACGAATAAAAGTGTGAGTAGAGAACCGATGTACTTTACCCTGGGGTCAGATGACACCTGGCGACATGATGTTCGGCTGAATCTGTTCGAAAGCCGCCGCCCTTGGCCAGCCCTCGGCCGCATCACAGCTCTCGTGTGCGTTTTTCAACATTTCACACTATTCGGCGCTCATTCACTGCTGCTGCTGCTCTTGCCGTGTGTCTCGCGTGAGCGAAGAGTCCATCACAACGAGCTGATCCTCAATTGCGACACTTGTCATTGGTCCGCTTTGCAAATGTTTGACGTTTTCATCTGTTGGCCTCGTTCACCAGTCTGGTTGCACTCAAAGATAAACATTAGGTTTTTTATCGATGTACTAACATGTCACAATTTATTCGCCACTGCCCTGAAGCTTTCAGCATGCCTCACAGTTGGGGGATCAACAGATCAGTTGGGAGTTCGATTTCTCATCATCTGCTTCTCTGGAATCTTGTCTTCAACCCATTTTCAAGCCCTAATTCCTCGTGTGGTTCCATGTCCATATATAGGCGCTTCAAGCATTTCTGCAATTTTTTTTTGGATGTTCGATAGTAACAACTATATTATTGTAAGGTGTAGTCTCAGGGCGCTGAGGTTGTGTAGTAGCGCACGCTTGTTTTTGTGGAATCGGTTCCCTGGGTCAAAATCTATATACTTTGCAGCAGCAACAATTTTTAACTCGCAGTACGAATCAATTTCCCACTCATAGGTATTAATCGCTCTCCATCACCATAGATCACACCAATCGATGAACCCAGATGACGTACTTATAGACCTAAAATAAATATAATACTCTGAAGCGAACTTCGCCCAAGAAAAAAAAAAAAGCACCCTTTTTTTTTTTTTTTGATTTCCAAAAAAGTCGGCCCTAATGTGCTGCAGAACTCGACGATCACTTACCAATTAGCCCATACCATTTCTACTGGATGTCAACGAGAGGGATGCATTGGACGCATCCTAATTAATGACCATGTTGTCTCTATGCTTGCATTATCTTTTTTTTTTATGCTGCCGTATGTCATTAAGAAAAACGTATCTTTTAAGAGACTCAATGAACACCTACTTATTGACACCGCGCCTCCTCCTAGAGAACCCACTTCAATTAAGACCAGGTGCCTGAGCTCTTCTGAGTGCGTTCTACGCTGGTTCCATTATTGTAAAGTCATCCATAGTTTAACTGGTATTCCTGAGCTTTATTGAGCTCCCTCGTCCTTTCCAAACAAGCCAAGAATTAAATGGTGAATTTTTAGTGCGCGGCACCTTCCAAATAATAGCATCGAAAGCGAGCTCAGTTTCTTACTGCTCTATTGAACTTGAGAATTCCCATGAGCGGGCCTGGCTAGTGTTACAGTCGTCAGATTGCGAACGGCCTCCACGTTAGCTTGATTCGATCGTTTAAATGCGGATCTATCGTCATCTCCCTTCTTAGTATTAAAAAGTCATCCCTTCCATGTCCAAGTAGTAGTCGATGTTGCAGAGATGAGTAAATCGTTGATCTATCTCAATCAATGATTGTAGATGAACTGTAGCAGTGATGGCGTTGCCTCTGCCCCAGCGACGGTGCGTAAATAGCTTGCAATGCCCGTTGAGATGAAATATACTTCAAAACGCGCTTAGTTCCGTGCTTTCAGGGGACCACCTGTTCACTAGGCAGGTTTCACCCTTCTCCGACCTCCGACCTTATCGTGGAATCCTCCTTTGCAAGACATCGTCAGGCAACTGATCCATCGAATAAAATGGATTTTTGGGTGGAGTCAATCGTTATTGCCATCGAAATAACTCTCGCCGCTATCCCTACAGTATCAAATGGGGGTGGAGCGTTGAAGTGGTGTGCTTGTCGGCACCTACGTAACAAACTAATCTTCAGTGGGAAACGATTGATGGCGGCCAATAAAGTTGCCGAGCCGCGTCACTCGAAACCTCGTTCTGTCCTTTGGAGCCGTTCGGCTGACGACGGCGACGGCTCGTTAGCTGGCATTTGCAGATCGTTTTTCATAACTGCAACGGCTTAGGTCCCAATTCCGAACGTTTGTCAAATCAGCTGGTGTTGCATTGTTTTCTTTTATTCTTGCTGCCTCCCTGGCTTAGACACAACCTTCCCATTGACCTTGCCGGTTGACTGGTGAAGTTGGCTGGCTGTTTTGTCATTGTGTGTGGTTGTGAATAGCCCATATCCAGTTTTCATTTCGCTAGTCACGGCAAATAATTTCGCGCTAAGCGGAGCGCCCTTTTCATGGCATTTGTCGCAAATTTCAATTGGAAACCGCTGGCAGCTCGTCCTTTGTGGCTGTTTTCGGCCTGTATCGCCATTGGTAGTTCAACTTTGCTTCCAAAAACTTACTTTATAGGAAAGAGATGGGGGACCTTATTGTGATTAGTTATATTATGGAATGAATTTTGGGTACCTCCTGGGCGTTTCTGACCATCGATGTGTCTTCTGACATTGGGTCTTTAATTGTTAAGGCGTTATGACTCCGCAACAATCCACGTTTCCCTTTTTCTATGTTTTTGGTGATTCAAGGGCGCCTGGGAGAATTAGATCATTGACGGCAATCTGAAGATCCGCCTTGCTAGGTTTGAGTTATCAGTTCCAAAGCTATACAGGTATCGGCAAAAGAGGTGTGGCTTGGAAAAGCCACCCCTCCCCCCCACCGACCAACCCATTCATAGTAGCTTCAACGTCTTCCACTATTCAGAATCATGTTCAGTTCGTGGGGCGCAAGAGATTCGAAAGAGATTATATTGTCATTTTCCATTTGCTTCCTGGATTTTTTCGGATCTCCAAAGCAAGCCGCAGTGTGGAAGAAAAGCGTTTCTGCATATGTTCAATTTAGAATTACTTGTACATGTACTACTTAATATGGACAAGGCAAATATATAAGCGTAGAGTCATTATATTAATACAACACTTTTTTCTTCGACTGGCCCTTTACTTTTCTCAGCTGATACCCGATTCCGTCTGCGCACTGCAGAGGGTGTGATGGCATTGTTTAGCGTATTTATAAGCTAAAAACTGTCGTCTTCTAGAATTTTATAGGGAAGGCATTTTTGAGGCCAGGTTGGCCGCGTATCGCATTATCTAGGGGAAATCCTCTTACGGCAAGCCTCAGGGAGGGGCAGCGGAGTGCTTGGGGAAAGTTGGAACCAGTAGCTCAGGCACCGTGGAGTCTTCTCCTCCTCTTGCCCGAAGGGCGTCGGTTCGTTTCATTCCTTTTTCCTTTCATTTCCTTTTTTTCCCGTTTTTTAAAAGGCACGCACCGAATAAATCTTTCACGCAATTTCAAATGCATCGCCACCGCGATGCCCCCGTATGTTCCGATGGCGCCGTCAGGTCTGGAATTTATCAGCATTGAGTGTTATACAAATCGACGTTCTTTCCCAAGAGTTGGTCTTGACTCTTTTCTCTAGGCGTTTCCCAAGTTCTCGAAGGCTATTGGATTTGACCTGACAGAAAACCTCGGGAAAATTACCCCTTATGAGCGTTTCAGTGATTTGATTTCCAAAGATTGGAAATTCGTCTTGAGCGTAAAGCTCTGACCTATCATACTTTCAAAATTTGCGCAACTCTTTTTCATGTTAAATTACCATTGCTTTCACAAAGGAGGTCTTTCAGGGCATAACCTAGAGAGAGAAACACCAATCAATAACTTCAGAACTTATGCTAAACAAGAGACACGCCCTGCGTACATATGAAAACCTTTCTCTGTCAGGCGCTTTTCAATTTCAATTTTTCGTTTTGTGCATATTGTAGGGACGCATGTAGGGAGCGCAAAACCATGTTTCATTTTCGCTGAACGGTTATAGCAGTACCAAAAAAGAAGCATAAGCTACTGTTAAGGGTTCGATCCCCCGTGGCGACTAAATTTTGCATTTAGGTTGGCGCCTACGGTTTGGTGCCAAATCGCTTACTAAATATCAAAATCAGATGTCAAATTCATCGTCAGGGCCATATTTTGAAGCCAACAAGTGGCCGCCAACCTTGATTGCTAAATTTTAGTCGCGCGGAGTTGATTGCAACTCTCAGAGTTATATATAATTCACACTTTTTGGTACTACTTGAATAACCGTCAGCGAAGCGAAACACTTGCTTAATGTGTCCACACTGTGTCCTTGCGTCCACACTGCTGTCCCTTCCCAACATTGTCACTAAACCGTTTTGGAAAAGCGCACCTTGCCCCTATCGTATTTCAACATTCAGAGCAGTAGTGAAATTTCCACGTCCCAGTAAACCGACCCCAGAAAGATGAAAGGCTTCGTTAACCTGCTCGAGGTCGAGTCTGCGAATTCCGATCCTACGCTCAGCAAACATAAGATGCATTGTCGCATACGCGGTGGGCAACCTCCCAGTACCTCAGCAGCTCGCCAAGGCTTCCCATCTGTAGCTACGCCTCTCCTGCGCACCTCACAGGAGGTGCGGACCTTTCCCCCGGGGACTAAGGGGACTTCCAGCCGGCCGCACACGCGGAACTACACTGGCTGGGCACAACGCGTCCTGACCCATAACCTTAGTACAAATGCCCACGGCTACACGTACAGAGTTAGGGTAAAACCACAACATTATACAAACACAACACATATATTTACTAATACGTTTATTATATACGTAGTATTTATATACGTAGTACATACCATTGCTCGT